GGTTTTTTTTTTTTTTTTTTTTTTTTGAATCCGAACAATTCGTTATTGCGCTTTTGTTTTTATTGATGAAGGAGGGACTGTTTATATTTGGCTAGTAATAGTAAATATTGTATAAAAACTGGTTTAATTTTATAGTTTTTTTAAAGAAATGTATCTGAAGTCACAAAATTGCATTGCGTTATGCTGTTAAATAATTGATGCGGCAAAAAAAAATTGTTTTTTTTATTGCCGCATCAATATTTCCCGAATTTTCCCCGCGGGGTGGGTGGGGGAAGGGGGAGTGAAAATCTAACAATTTTTTCAGTGCCCTAAATTGGCTATAGTGGGACACAGTGATAAACTATAAATATCTTGTTTAATAATTTCAAAAATAATCCTATTCTTTTTCATTGTATCCAATTGTTACCAAATTGGCTATAGTGGGACACAGTGATGAAGTACAACTGTCTTCTTTAATATTTTCTAAGTTAATCCTTTTCTTTTTCATTGTGTTCAATGGCTTCTAAGATCACATAGAACAACTTATTAGATTATCGCTCTTTAAAAAAAACGACGAGGGAGGGTGGTTTTTTGTAATTTTGTTTTTGTTTTTGTTTTTCTTTTTTTAATCAGAACAATTCGTTATTCCGCTTTTGTTTTTATTGATGAGGGAGAGAGACTGTTTATAATTGGCTAGTAATAGTAAATACTGTGTGGGACACAGTGATAAACTATAAATATTTTGTTATTATTTTTCAAGATAATCCTGTTCTTTTTTATTGTGTCCAATGGTTGCCAAATTGGCTATAGTGGGACACAGTGATAAAGTACAACTGTCTTCTTCAATATTAATTAATATCAGCCGTTTATGAGATTTTGTAATGGATTGCTTTTTACTTTTAGACGACTTAATTTTTCCCATTGTGTATTTCTTCTTACAAAAGCTTTCTTATCAAAGTACAGATCGGACGGATATTTTACCAAAAAAGAAGAAACTCTCACTTTTATCTTTTTGATCATCGACACTGCTTTAACTTGATTCGCTAATAAGTTTAGTAGTTCTTCCCATTATGGGCTCCCTAGCTTCCAAAAATGTTTCCGGAAGTCATAGTCTCGTTTGGTCCAGGAATATTGTGTTTTTTCCACATTGTTGAAAATTAATAAAATTCTGAAATTCTCCAATTACAGATAACATATAGTAATAAATATAGTAATAAATAACATAAAGTAAATTTATGTATAAAGATTTACTTTGTAACATTTTAATGTATTCCAATTAATTCTATGTAATTTTCATCATATTATTTATTATAGCTCTGGAGTATTTATTATAGTTTAAGGAGTAGGTTTTTTTAGTTTCATAAAATAACTTCAACTTTCATTTTTCTCAAAATGTCCAACTCAAAGAGCTCAATCACCAAGCGCATAGAGGCTTTTTCGCATGATGCGCTCTACAAATCCAACTATTATTATTATTATTATTATTATTATTATTATTTGATGATGATGATGATGATGATGATGATTATTATTATTATGATGATGATGATGATGATGATGATGATGATGATGATGATGATGATGATGATGATGATGATGATGATGATGATGATGATGATGATGATGATGATGATGATGACCGAAGTCCGTTTTTGGTATACTAAATATGCCTCGAGGCGCATAACCAGATATCAACAGAAATTATCAATCCGCGAGTGGTGCATGATGGGATTTATTGCGGGCCGCTAAAATTATTAAAATCAACATAATTTGTCTCTTTTTACCTGTTTATAGGCTAATACACTGTATCACAGTACCAAATATATGTTTCGTGTATAGTAAAGGACCCAACAACGGTAGAAATATGGAAATTAACTCGTTGAAAATTTGCAGACACTGGGTCTTTAATAACCCTTTCAAAGCTTTTTTTTACTCGTTTACAGTTAACACTAATTACTATGTGCCCTAAAATGGCTGGAGCTAAAAACACTCAAGAATCATCGAGTCTATTTACATTACAAAACCACAAACATCGGATTATCATACTGGTCCTTCTATTTTATGTGGAGCCTAATGGTAAGCATTACATACCGTACTTATTAGTTATTCTAAGCAATAGGCATAGGCCTATGGTTATGTAGAATAATAAGTGTGTGTACATCAGAAAGGCGTAATCCCCGTTTTCCCGCTTTGGCTGTGTCATGTGATTTATTCTAGCAAGAAACCCCCCAACAATGAGCGCTACAGCCATTAACACTGCCAGTTGATCATCAAACATAGGTCTACTTACTGAATATTTAAGCGTCTAATTCAAACATCAAATACAGGTCTACTTATACGGAATTTTTAAGCGTATAACAATATTATATCTTAACAGTGCGGTCTCACTTGAAAAGTTTTTTGGCCTCTTTGGACTTAGTTTATATTATTTGAAGCCTATTTTAAATTTTAAACCAGTCTTGCTCTTCTTCATTCATTAATGAATTTAGTTCTAAAGAAGGCCAGAGGACTGGTCGAAAATTTCTTTGAAAATAAATAAGAGTCCACATGACTCGTTGCTATAATTTCAAGAACACAGCGTGGATTTACGATGAATTGAAAAGTAAAACTGAAAAAAAGAGAAAAAACTCAGCCTCAACCTGGCTCGAATCCGGGACCTGTC